GGAGGAGGGGGGGGGCGATGTTTGGCCAACGTTTGTGTCCCAAATACCCAAAAAAAGAACTCGCTATTTACGCACCATACAGCCATCATGTCCGTCCAACAGAGCCAACAGACAAGAGCAGATGGGTGGATGGGTGGACACGGACCGTCTGTACATACAGAATGCGTTCGCTTCCCCTGTAATTGCCTTCGAAGGGATCTAGGGATAAATCTATTTCACCCTGGCTTACAGCATCTCAACGTCAAGACCCACTAGCCTGATTGAGATAAGGTTGCTCGTGTCTATTATAGAGAAGCGCCAAATCAATACCAGTTCTCCAAAAGAAAGTGGCCGTCAAAACTACCTCCACCTACTGCTGGAGTGGGTGTTTAAGAAGCCTGAGCAGTCCAGGCAATCGCATAACCCCATCGCGTAGTCTGTCGCCGAAAGAGCATCAGCCATTGTTTATACCCCCAAGCGACAAAAGGGCACAAACAACTGACGCGGAGGGGCCTTGAACGCAGTAAAGCGAGGGTGCTTCGCAGCATCCCGTTTCGTTCTTCACTGCTATCATAGGTTTTGCTTCCACAAAGGAGTAAAGTTCAGCATTTCTAGCCGGTCAACCTGTAGTCGCAACGTTATACACCAGCAACAACCCATCGCTGGGTGAGTCGAGGCGGCTCATGATACTGCTGGTTTCCTACTTGTGAACAAGTACTAATATCTCACTCTCAATGAGGGATGTCCCCTCAGGAAAGAGCCCACCCCCGCGCCCGCGGTGTGCGAGCTGCCCACAGTCAGGATCGAGAGCTTCTTGCCGGCGGCGCTGACTGCTCGAAGGATGTTCTTCAGGAGCGACACCAAAGACAACAACATAATCACAGCGGGAAAGATCGCGAAAGCGACATGGGGACGGCTAGCAGCAGGGAGGGATGGATGAGGACCACGGTGGCACCAGTGGCACCGTACCGTTGTGGGTTGTGCTAGGACTAACACAGGATTAACACGCGACCGACACCTGCAAACAGAGGCAACAGGCGCACGACGTGACGTCTTACGAACGCCAACATATCCGGCTTACAAGCCGCGAACACGTTGACGTCAAGGTCGTGAGAAGCCTTCGAAGAAGGCGTACAGATACGTAGCTACATGAGCGAAACCGGACGGGCACCTCGTCCGACACGAGACCCTTCCACACCAGTTAAGTACAGGGTGTTGCCATGGCACCTATTCATAGCATTCGGGAGGGTACACAATCACAGTCTGATCGCGAGGGCACCTATGTAGACGCTACACTTGAAGCGCCGTTTCTCATCCTTCCTTACCCGGCTATCGTCCGGAGACAGGTCCTTCATCCACAGGTCCAGGTGCCCCGGCGTGACGAGGCTCTCCGCCAGCACACGGCCCACGAAATCGGACGGCCGTCGTGGGCAGCAGTAGCCGTCGGCCACCGACACAGCGAAGACGAGAAGGTTTAGCACCGCCAGCCGGTCGTTGGAGGCGGAGGGGCCTACAATGGCGAGGTGCTTCCACACCAGGAAGAACTCCTCGGCCTAATTTCAAGAAAATAAAAAAGAAGAAGCAACAATCGTGCACGAAAAGCAAAAGCACGAACAAACATATTGAGGCAACGGCGACGCGTTCAGGGCTTTACGAGAACTGAACACGCTGATGTTCAGCAGACAAGACAGTTGGAGCCGACGGTACGCACACACCTCCTCCGCGTCTCGCGTCTCCCCTGACGCGGGAGCCGTGGTGCGGCAGTACTACAGTACGGTGACTACCAAAGCGTTTTCGCGCTCTACCATACCTACAATACTACGGCCATTTCACTCGTCCGTCCGTCGCATGGAGCGGTCCATCCCACTTGCCAACCAAGGACAAGCACCAAGTCTTGTCTTGAAGGGAGTTTGCCAGATACCGAGACCGGAACCGATACCATACTCTGGTTGGGAATTAAGAATGCGTAGCGTGCCCACAACGGGCCACCTCTCTCTTGTACAACATACTTCCTCTCGTCTCTTGCACGACCCATTTTGCCGAACAGACTGACCGCATCGCACACCTAGGAGGTGGGGGGACAGGCAACAACAAGCACGCACCTGGTCTATGGAGACGCTGAGCGAGCACATGGCCTGCTTGAGCGCGCCCTGCGCGTCGCTGTACTTCTCCACGTCCTGTCTTGTCTGACTCAGGATGAAGCACGGCCGCAGCACGTTCCGCCAGTTGCGCTCAGGCGGAGAAAGGGTGCCATTGATCCCCAATCTGACAACAACAAAACGGGAAACAGTATCGAATGAAGACGTGGTATACGTCGGCGTTGGACATGCATGCACCTTGATTCCCAGTCTGATAGAACATCAACAACCGTCACGAGATACGTTGGAAGCGACGCGCTGCAAAGCTAGCTGTCAGTAAACTTGATCCGACTTCTTAAGTCGCGAGGGAAGGGATTGCTGTACCCTTCTCGCGAAAAGAATATCTCCGGCAGGAACCGCAGGAGGGGGTCCAACCCCCCCCTCCTGTGTGACCCCGGTTGGGTCGCCTAGCTGGTAGAAGTGGAGGATAGGGGCCAGAGGGGCAGACGACAGAGTCCAATAATGGGAGAAAAAAAAAAAACTAAGTATTCGGATCAAAGGAAGTGGTTCGAAAAAGGGTGTGACATGACATGCAGTGCGGAGGCGTGTGTCTGGTTGTGTGCCTCCAGGAGGCTTACACGGTCGCAAGTGAGTGTCGAGTAATTGGAAGCGATCCTGCCTCGCCTCTACCCCTTCGCCATGTACCACCTGCTCAAAAACATTCACGGCGAAAACCATCATCGCACACAGATCCAGCAAAATGCGGAAACAAAAAAATGCGTCGGACAAAGCGTTCGTCCGCATGGCAACAGCGCGTCCTCCCTTGACATGCATGTGATTCGTTCATCGTACAACACAGATGCCATACATACACACTGACACGGGTAGGGAAAATCGCGCACGGTATCCGCGTTGGGTGGTATCAAACTTTTGGAGCATTCAGCGCAACAGCAGGCGTCATATCTTCCCTTGCCATAAGCCAGTTGTACGCGGGGACCCTGTGCGACCACAAATTGACAAAATCAACTGCCACACGACCAAGGAGTGGTACCCCCCGCGACCCTTGCCTTGCTAGCTAACGAATGCTAGAGAGAGGTGCAGGCTACTGCTGTACTTGGTCGCACCCGTAGCGTAAAAATCATTGTGGCCTAAAAGAGCACACACTGGTCCAGCGCTTGAGCGACTACAGAGTGTGTGGAGACAAGACTTCTGTTATGATCGAATACTGTTATGCCAGAGAGAGGTTTATCGCTGTTGCTGTACAAGTAGGGCGGAAAAAAAAGTCACAGCAGTACGGTAGGGATGACGGACCTGTCCAGCGCCTCCGCAACGGCTCTCTCTATTCTCGACCCCTCCGCCGGCGTGCTTCTCCGCCGCCTGCTCACGTCGCCCCCGCCGCCGTTAAAGCTCCTACCCCCGGAGAAGTCCGACACCGATGCCGTCGTCACCGAAGCTGTCGGTGTCGATCCCGCCGTGCTGCGCCCCCCCCCCCCCCCCCCCCCCCCCCCCCCCCCCCCCCCCCCC